TTTGTTCGTGTGATATGAAGTTAGCTTTTGCTGTAAACGAATTAACACTGCTTACATCATGTAAACAAGCCTAATAATAATAATAATAATAATAATTCCCCTATAGAAGGGCTTGAGAAATTAAATTTACTGTTTAAGTTTAGGAGATTAGGACAAATCCTGCCCACATGTTGTGGAGCAAAAACAAGATAAATCCCTTCGCACAAACAGCCAGCTGGGACAGATATAAACACTTCTAGTACAAAGTGAAAACTGAAGTGTTTTAACTCACCTGCCACAGGCTGACCTCTCCTGGGACAGTTGCGCCATCGAGGAGGGGGTCCAGTTTGCGACATGATAATGAAATAAAGACAGTAAAGACTAAAGCTTGTCTCACTAACTAGCCCCAGATCCCGGGTAACGGTTTACTCGAGCACCGCGGATTCGAGGCCCTTTCGCTGCTGATTCAGGGGGATCATCCAACGAGCTCAAGCCCGTTCAGCATTCTGGCGGGCGAGCAGGAATTTAAACGAAACATACAGACCTTTATAATTTACTACAAACCAATAACCGGAAAAAAAACGACGCCTTTTTGTGTTTGTTTTCCTATAAATCACAATGCTAGCAAGTGGCTTGAATTACTTCTGTAATCAAGCCAGCTAGTTAGCTTATTATGCTAAACCATGTAGCTAATCTTCTTCTTCTTGATGTTATTATTTGAAGTCATGCTGCCACCTCCTGGTAAAGGCCGAACATGACATTACAAAAGGCAATGCAATAAAAAGAACAGCAAATAGCAGTAATAATTAAAGTAAAACTTAAATGTTATTTCTTAAATTTGTGTGAGACCAATTCTTATTTATTTACCCTTAATTAATTCAGTAAATTATATCAATGCTGCTTAAAAATGTGTATTATTATTATTAGTAGTAGTAGTAGTAGTAGTAGTAGTAGTAGTAGTAGTAGTAGTAGTAGTAGTAGTAGTAGTTGTAGTAGTAGTGGTGGTGGTATTATTGTTATTAGTATTATTATTATTGGCAATATAATACTTATTAGGATATTTTCTGGTCTTTTATGCAGGTTGTAATAAAACATATTTTTCAAAAACTAATGTTTAATGATCAGTGACACAAACTAATTACATGACTCTTTAATAAATAGCATCACAATTTCACTTCTTATGGATCCATTACTTTTGTCGTCCACCAAGCAGCACACACAGAAATGACAATAAAACATTGTTTTATCTGATGTTTATTCATATTTGCTCATGACCATTTCACACACAAATGCATGCTTTATTTTGCAATATTGTACAACTATATTACATGTTGTAATGTAATAAAACACTGACAACTTGGTTAGCTTATGCTGTATCTGTGTAAACAAAACATTGCTTAGCATATTATGAGATGCTATTGACTAAATATATCGCTCCATTTGACAGTGCTGCAACAGCCTGTTGAATGTTTTGACTGTGTTAAAGATTCAGTCTTCTGCTTCATTATCCAAACATTTTTTTTTCTGTTGCAAAACCTGTTTTGAGAACTACTTGCATTAAGTCAGTGTTGGAGTAAGTATTGTCACAGTGGCACGCATTAAATCCAGCCCCTTAAATAACATCAACAAGTGGTTGCTGGAGGGATGAACAGTTGAAAACGAGATGTTTCAATATAAACGTCTTTTCTTTAAACCCACATTTACTTCCACTGACACAAGTTTCCAGTCAGTCTACCTGCTGTCATTCCCTGCTCCAAAGCTGAATGACTCATCTGGACTCCAGTTTGGGTTTTGTTTTCCCGACGCTCACCTGACATTACCCTGTTCCAACATGTTTAAACTGACATACACACACTTTGGCGCTGTCTTTTCCTGCGCTCGGCCTGAATCACCCTGACTCAGTTTGTCGCTTCTTGGCATCGAGATCTCCGCCGAACTCTGACTTCGATACGGGTTGATGGAGCTGCTCTCCGTGGAAAAGGATGAGATGGATTCCTCGGGAGAAGAGAGGCGCTGCGTCTCGGTAGGCTCAGACGATTCGTCAGAAGCGAGGGTGGCGGACGGGTCGCAGTACTCGTCTGAGTGCTGACTGGCTTTGTTACCGTAACCGGTGGGAGCGAGGGAAGACGTGTTTGCTCTTCGGGTTTCCTCGGTAAAGACCTGGTCACAGATGTTTTCGGGGTGATGAGTGAACGGCTGGAAGAACCACGCCTTCTGAAACAAACACAGACCATTCGAACCAGAAAATGTTTGTATTCAGCTTCAAAATATGAAAATACTAAAACTGCATTATGTCTTCCCTGTTGTCTTGTCAGTTGTTGTTGTGATTCGTTTGTCATCCAGGTCATCTCAACTTTGACACGCTTCTCCTCCTGCATACTTTGTCCTAGAGCTGCCATTTCAATTTATATCTGTAAAGCTCCTGTGCCAAATGATGGCTATGCCTTTTGGTGCCTGTACAGCTTATAGTTTTTGAAATATTAACGTTTAATAAATTATAATGGCAGTCAATGGAGCCTTGTATTGGTCCAATACTGCCCCCTGCTGCATCTACACAATATGGTACTGCACCAATGTTTAATAATATTTAAACTCAGTAGTTCAGTGATTACAATATTAACATGATTGTATTTTTATGTTTTACTGTAATGCTGTCTTAATATTATCTTATTGTTGTAATATATTGCAGTTTAGTGTCAAAGATTACATTGGCAATGTGTCCTCTTTCTGCACACATACAAACCAACTTCTGGCACTCCCCTCTGCCACAGCTCCAATAGTCTCATGGTTAATGCCATGGGCTTTCATGTGGGAGATCAGGGTTCAAACCCAACTACAGCAACTTTAACTAAAAATCTCAACAAACTTCATATTGTCACACAATTATCCTTATTACAAATATCTGCTGACCTGACAAACACAAGCTGGTATAGAAAACACATTTGAACTTGGTCACAGTTCATTCTACAAGTGCAATGCTGCAGGCAAAGCCGTGCTGCAGTGACATGCTACATGGCAATGCACATTTGTTTTTAAATCGTAAAAACCCATGTCTAGTATTCAGTTAGTATTTCAATCCTAACAATGTTTTTTTAACTTTCTTACCTAAAAGATTGAAAAATAATATGAAAACAAACTGTCCTACATTTGGCTAACCATTAGCCTAGCCTGAACAAAGACTTTTGCCTCTTTCTCTACAATGATGTCATGGCAGAAATGGAAAAATCACCAGACTATCCCTTTAAATACATATTTCAAACTGTTTGAAGGAAGTTCTGTTAAAACGTTATAAACAATTAATATTTTACTTGTTGAAAATAACTGAGTTGTTCTGACTGGATAAACAAGCTAAATGCATTTAAGATTGTTGGGGTTTTGTCATTTAGAAACAAAAAATAGCAGCAGCTAGCTGTAGCACTTCCAGTGGTGATATTTTTCATGGAAAATCGTAAAATTATGTAAAGTATTCCAGTAACTCTCTACGGAGTTGGCCTCGCTTGAGCTTGCTGCCAGCTCATCAGTTCCAAAATGAGATCATTCAACAGGTAAGATATTAATTGTTCATATTTCCTCAGAACCCCGCTTCAAAAGAAACGCAGAACATGTGAATGTGCATCATGTGCCAGTCCCTGTCGAAACACATTTACCATCAGGAACATGATGCAACCGCCTCCTGTTTGAATTTTTTATGCAGTTCTGCAGAAAAAAAGATTCAGCTCTTTGAGGTTTGTGGGCAAATGTTGAGGTTTGTTCAGCGGCGAATATGCAAATATCAACTTTGAGGCTGCGTTCTTTTTAATGGGAAAAGCTTTTCTCGTGAGGATCTGTCCAAATACTGTATGTCATAATGGTTTTTCTGATTGTACTTTCAAAAAATTCCAACCATTAAACTCCTAAGTGATGCTTTAGAGCTCTAAATAATTAATGTTCACACAACATGTTAACTGTTTTCACTGTAAATCAAACTGGTTGCCTTGTGGCAAAAAAAAATCCATTTGAGAAAATTAACTGTGTGCTTAAATAAATAATATGGAGGACCGAAACTAACTTAATTAGAAATAAAAGCAGAAATATATAAATGGACCAATTAAGTTTAGATAAATGTAAGGAGGAAAACACTTAACTGTGCCTCTGTTTTAACTCAACTTTAATCTTTAAGCTAAACTGAAGCAGCAGCAGCATGCACAGTAGATCTGCACATGGATCCTGCTACTTCCTGTCTGTTGACCAATAGAAGAGCTGACCGAGGAAGGCCCGCCCACCTTATATACAACAGAACGAAATGCACAAGTTAAAGTAAAAACAGGAGGCAGAAAAATATATAAAACCAGACATGGAAATAAAAAGACTTGTGGGAAAAATTATTTAAAAAATAGTTAAATATAATCATTTAAGAGACACAGATGCATGTACAAGTAAAATATATATATTTAAAAACAGTAAACTAATTAGTTGACTAATTTTTTGGAACAAACCTGGAAAAATAAATAAGAAAGTCACTTAAATATAAAACAGGAGATAAAGTTCTCCTTTTTAAAATTTAACTGGTGCATTTTAAGTGTATTTACTGAGTGGTTAATATAATTCTGCTTTTATTTCTAATTATGTCAGTTTTGGTCCTCCGTACTGCAGAAGCCTGATAATCATCTATTCATTCATATCAGGTGTGTTGGAGCAGAGAAACAAGTAAAACATGCAGGGCTGCGGCCCTCCAGGACCAGGATTGCCCATGCCTGCTCTGGACGGATGTTCTAAACCTTTATTTCGTTCTGCGTTGCCTCTTTGATGTTGTGTGTGAATGACAATAAATGATTCTGATAATGTCCATTAAAATCAGGCAGCACGTCCCCAAACACACTCGTACAGTAGCTACTTTCTGTATTCAAGGCCGGTGTTTAGCTCTAGTCTTACATCTGCTTTTCTATTGACTTTTACAGATTTGTCCTTATAAATCAGTATGCTATGTTGTGATGGTGAAACGTCCTCAACATGCAATGTTGCAGGATGTCAGAATAACTGCAGAGCACAGCTGAAACTTAGTTTAATATGAACACTGTTTAGGTGCAATCAACTGGAAGTAGGCATCTACTGTAAATACTGAGCATGTGAGTTATGTTAGTGAGTTAGTAACTGTAAAATGTCAATATGTCTCAAAAGCAAACCCAAACTGTGCATCTCTTAAGTTTGTCAAAAAATTATATAAAAAAATAAATAAAAATAAAAAATCAGCTCTTTGGTAAGACAAGACGGTAGTTTAATATTGTTTTTTTTAATCACATCAAACAAAACTCTGTCAAATGAGGAACATGACAGAGTGAGAATCATGGTTTGTGGTTACTTTGGAGCAGTCTGTGGCCTGAAGTATACAGCGGATAAAATAAGTATTGAACACGTCAACATTTTTCTCAGTAAATATTTTACTAGAGGTGCTAATGACATGAAATTTTCACCAGATGTCGGTAACAACCCAAGTCATCCATACATACAAAGAAATCAAACCATAAATGNAAAAACAGTAAAATGTAAATGATGTGGTAAAATATATAATTTATTGGAACTAATGCGGAAAAATAAATATGAAGGTCAATTAAATTATAAAACATGATGTTTTTAATATAATTGGTGCATTTTAAGTGCACTTTCTTATTTTTTGGTCTGCTTTTATTTCTAATTATGTTAGATTCGGTCCTCCATAGATTAACTTTATAAGAAAATAAAAGTAAATTAGAAAAAACGTCATCAAACCAGTTAAGTTTTAATTCACTGTATTATTAAGACAAAAGATAACTTCATATCCTGAGGACATCTAAAAGAAAAATGTTTTATTTAAATTTTAACCAGTTTTTCCAAAATTGTTTTTTTTTTTGTCCTGTTTCTAAATCTGTTCTGAAGGTAAATAAAAAAAAACATTTGTCCTCAGATTGGGCAACATGATTCCTGATTGAGTTGTCATCTTCCAGTTTGAGGATTTTGGACAGGTTTTAATCCTGAACCCATAATTTCAGACTTATATCATACAAAGGATCAGTTTTACAAGCACATATTTATCTTTTATAGCTACAGATCTTTTCTGTACCAGCAGGGTTTTCTCAGACAGATTTAATGCCCGGGGTGATGACATTTGATTTACCACTTCCCAATCCAGGAGCCACCAGTGAACATTTTTCAGGTTTAAAGTTTTATTTCCTCATATATGTGTCTAATGGAGCCTGAGCGTTACATGGCAGCAAAACTACTCACAAAAAAAAAGAAAAAAAATAGAGAATTTTTACAATACATATGAATTCTTATAATATGAACTAACCTTGTGATGATTTTGCGAGAGCCACTTCGCCACAGAGCTGAGGCCTGGATTTGGGATGGGCTTCTCCATAAACTTCCTCCACCTAAAATAACAATAACAATCATTAAGATTTTTATTTCTGCTTCAAACATCTTTAGGGGGCAAATCTAGTGACATTTGATAAATACAAAATTAATGCGTGGTCACAAGATAGGTAATGCCTTGTCATGGATTAGATTTGTGTCATCCAATGTCACCAGTACATTTTATTACTGAGACAATATTTTTATTTTTGCTTTGAATCCTAATTTTTCCCCCTCCAAACATTAAGTGAAACTCACTTGATGGCGCAGCACAACAGAAGAAACAACACCAGAAGAACCAGGATGCTCCCACACGCGGTCAGAACCTTCAACAGTCTTGGATCTGTGGAAGAAAACAGTGACGTCAGACGAGTTTGTGCCACAAAACAACACTCATATCGAGCAGCAACGATTGGAAGCTGAAAGGATTCATAGAACTCTTAAACTCAGTCATTAACAGTTTATTTTTACTGCTAACTCTACTGTATCCTGTTTTAGAGGATGGGGAAGGAAATCTTGCCTTTCTTTAACTTTATTCATTTCTTTAAAAATAACAAAATTTATGCACAAATAAAAATACAAATCACAAATAAGATAAGATAAGATAAGATAAATCTTTATTGTCATTGTCACAAGAACAACGAAATTTAAAAGGTGCCATCAGACAGTGCATATGCTAAAAAAAAGAAAAGAAAAAAATTTGTCTCACACTTTACGTATGCTGTAAAAAATAC